AATGGAGTTTTTTCTCAAAATTCTATTTGAATTGTTTTTTCCATATCAAACACCATATGTGTAACTTGAAGTCTTATCTTAAAAATAAAAATGACCTGATAATATAAAAATAATATTTCAAATTTTTATTATACAGGACCTACAACAAGGGTAGAAGCAAGGACTTGTGAGTCGAAGAGCCACCATTTCAAGGGGAAATGTCTTAGCGATACCAATTGCGGTTCCGTTTGCCATACCGAAGGGTTTACGGGTGGCAACTGTCGTGGCTTACGCCAACGTTGCTTCTGCACCCGAAACTGTTAATAGAAGAAAATGATCTTTTCAGAATTATCGCTTTAATTTTATCCTTGGTAAAATTAAAGTGTATGCTCTATCAATAAAACACGTACTCTCATATATATATGGTTGTACGTTATGTTGTTTTATTTTCTTTGTTAAATATTTTATATTTGATATGTATTGGCTTGATAAATTCAGATTCGCATTATAATAATTATAATAATAATAATAATAATAATATGCTTTGTTATATGATTAATTTGGCAAAAGTTAGGTTATATTAATTATATTTTTGTATAACTGTTTTTTCATATTAATTTTTTGTATTATTACTCATTTTTTTAGTGGCCTTTTTTTTATATTTAGTTTACATAGTTTTACGCAACTTTGGATTACTTTTTCTATATTCGATTTATGTAGTATTATGCATTATTTTGGTGATTACTTTTTTATATTTTATTATAAAACAAGATATACGTAAATCTTAAGCTATTTTTATTTCTACTTTTACCATATAATTTTAAAAATAAAAGAGAAATTGAAGAAAAAACAATTTTAATTTATCCAATACACTTTTTAGTAAAAAGGGGATGCATTGGATTATTAATGTTCATGCATTCTATCCTCTTGCCAAATGTTGATGGTATCTAAACACATGTAATCAAGATGGACACGTGTTAATCAATGGGAAGAGCCTCAAGCTATGCAAAAAAAAATTATATATTTATTTAGGTTTTCAAAAGTCTCAATCGATCTCTTTTTGAGTCTATAAATAATCATATAAATTTGTTTAAAATTAAATAAATAGACATACAAGTCTTACATAATATAAAACATATAGGAGGTCAGGTAGGAAATAAATTATTGTGTAGAATAATAAGTATGACGCATGTGTCTGTTTGTTCAAGTGAAATGACTTTTTTATATATAAGTTAGTCTCCTATCTTCATTTTTCTCCTTTTAAGTATTACTTATATTACTTTTTTTTGTGTTTCTTTTGTCATATTTTGATTTGACATAAAAATTTAAAAAGAAACAAAGCTTTTGAATCTTGCATTTTTAGAGTAAAAATATATTAAATATATCAAATGTCCTTGAATTTTATGATTTTAAATATGTTATGTAAAATTTAAATTAAAAAATTATAACAAAACATATTATTTTCCAAACGAATAAATAAATTATTGAGAATTTATTAAAAATATCATCTCTACTTACATAAAATCTAAAAAAATTAAATTAGAATTTTAGATTAGTCCAATGTACGCCACGTAATCATTGAAAATGTGAGTGGCAATTTTTGTAGGTTTGTGTAAACCGAATGCCTTCCTTGTAAGAAGAGGTTGCACGAAACTCTTTGAGTACTGCCAATAAATCTTCTTGAATTTAGTGATTGCTTTTATAAAACGATAACTCGGTGCATAAAGTATCTCTCGCTCACATATAAAAGTGGTAATAGAGTGGAGCGGGTCTAAGATTATACGGGTTGAAACTTGAGAAGGTTTTACGATTGTGGTGGATGGTAAATTTTTTAAAACTAATATAGATTACGGATCTATACAGTTTTATGAGAGTTTAAATTTAATTTTAATTTTTTCAGATGTCATAAGAGTGATAGAACAACCTTCAAGAGTAAGAATATACAAAGCTCATGATAAATTCATTATTTTTTAGTCAAACAAATATTAATGGAAAGTTTCTTTAAATTCTAATTCAAGATAATAAATTAAAATGGTTTAATCAAAATTAATAAAGTTTCTAACATGCTTCCTAATTGACCTGTGAAAAAATAATAATTTAATGAAAAATAAATTTATTTTTAATATTAAACTTAATTAAAAAAGTAAAAGTTGAAAAAATTATCCGGAGCAAGTATATGCTGATGGAGTGGGTTGAAAAAGAAAAAACTTATATATATATAAAAGGATTTCACTTTTTTATTGGATCCGTAGCAAAATTATGTGTATATATATATACATATAAATATTTTATCACGCACCCTAAAATATTGGAATTATTTGATTGGAAACAAATTATTCTAAAATTGTTTAATTTCAGGATAAGTTATTTTGGTATAGATTATTCCACTATGTATATGGGATTACTCATTTCATTACTATGACAAAAATGGTGGGATAAATAATCTAAGAGCTATCAATACCTCCAACCAAATATGAAACAAAATAATTCTACATTTTATCCTGAAATTATTATACCTCAAACCAAATAACTCCTAATGTTAAGCCAATTCCGGTCCTTCCATCTGCCTCTATCTCAATAGCTTTCAAAATCGAGTGATTTGATTAGCATACATCAGAGGATGGTCTAAAGCTGGCCCTTGCTATCAGTCCAACCAAGGGCACCCCCTTCCTAGTTCGCTTAGTCGGTTGAGTAAACAAACCCGGACCACTGGCCGACTTAGTGAACTATTTATGATCGTTTAACAACATTTTTCAACAAAGCAATGTCGATATCACATTAACACCGCCTCAACTAACACACATCCGCCTTTAATTTACCCCCATTATCTTCATATCCTAAACTCACCTCTATATCTATAAGATTGATCAAATATTTTATCACTCTAAAATATTGGAATCATTTCGTCGGGAACAAATTATCCTAAAAATTTTTTAATCTTTGGATAAGTTATTCTGGTATAAGATTATTCCACCATGTATATGGGATAACTCATTCCATTACAATGACAAAAATGGTGGGATAAATAATCTAAGAGCTATCAATACCTCCAACCAAACTAATAGAATAAGATAATTCTACATTTTATCTTGAAATTATTATACCTCAAACCAAATAACTCCTAATGTTAAGCCAATTCCGGTCCTTCCATCTGCCTCTATCTCAATAGCTTTCAAAATCGAGTGATTTGATTAGCATACATCAGAGGATGGTCTAAAGCTGGCCCTTGCTATCAGTCCAACCAAGGGCACCCCTTCCTAGTTCGCTTAGTCGGTTGAGTAAACAAACCCGGACCACTGGCCGACTTAGTGAACTATTTTATGATCGTTTAACAACATTTTTCAACAAAGCAATGTCGATATCACATAACACCGCCTCAACTAACACACATCCGCCTTTAATTTACCCCCATTATCTTCATATCCTAAACTCACCTCTATATCTATAAGATTGATCAAATATTTTATCACTCTAAAATATTGGAATCATTTCGTTGGGAACAAATTATCCTAAAATTTTTAATCTTTGGATAAGTTATTCTGGTATAAGATTATTCCACCATGTATATGGGATAACTCATTCCATTACAATGACAAAAATGGTGAGACAAATAATCTAAGGGCTACCTAATACCTCCAACCAAATATAGAATAAGATAATTCTACATTTTATCTTGAAATTATTATACCTCAAACTAAACGACTTCTAATGTTAAGCAATGTCGATGTCACGTAACATCGCCTCAACTAACACACATCCGCCTTCAATTGTACCCCTATTGTCTTCAAATCCTAAACTCGCCTCAATATTTATAAGATTGACAAATGTCTAACCCAAAACATATTAGCAAATGTCAAGCCTAAAAAAATTACTTTAAAAGCAACTCAAAAAAAAAAAATCCTCTTATGTGTTGTTCTGCTGTAAAATATCTCACAAACTAATTTTCTGTTTTTCATAACTTTAACATATTACAATGAATGAATCAAAATAATAATAGTAGAGCAATCGCCTGTATTATAGGTAAAAATAAATCTTTAATAAGAATTACGATTTTTGTTTGACGTCTAGACGTTGAATCCTCTTGATTTTTTCATATATTTTACTTCTCTACATTTTGAAACTCTTTAAGCTACATCACTAAGACCACCACACAAACGTATAAATGAAAAAGTAAGGAGGCAAACATGAAGGTGATATAAAATCTCAACCAACTCCTCTCGTTAGAATCAAGTAGCTTCCAAGCCCTCTCTGCAGTTACGGAGTTCTTCTTGGTCTAATCTCCGAAATAGAAGGTCAGTTGACCGGGGAGTTAGTATTCATTCATGTAAAGATACTCCTTTGAAGCTGGAGTAGGAATTGTCCACCTCATCACCCCGAAGAACAGTGGCTCTGTTGTTTTGCACGCCTACAAAGAGAGAATCCAAAAGTATTGAAGCTCACTCGAAAGAAAGAGCAAACAACTATATACTTAACTCATGCCACAGGAATTCTAATTCCTAGACACAGAGAGAGGATATAAGCTAAAATCTCAACCAAACAAGGCATTGATCCAAAGACACTTGTATGACAAAAACATATCTATCAGGCAACGGATCAAAAAGTAAACACGACCATGGCAAGAAATCAGGATCAACAGATAATATTGACCAGAATACGCAAGGTAACAACAACATATCCTAGAAAGGGTAGAATGTATGCAGACTTTACCACTGCCTCGTGGAGGTAGAGAGGTTGTTTCCGAAAGACCCTCGGCTCAAATGCCACAATTCCAGATACCAAGAAGAAAATATAGCACGTCATAAGGAAACAGTGCGAAGTCTACCAAAAGGGAAGAATACGCAGGGTAAGTATCTAGAAAAATCTAAACATGGATAACTAGCTAACTTGCTCGCGTTCATGCGATCATGAATAACCTCATTAAATTAACAAATGATCATTCTCAACTACTTGAAAAGGTAGATTCTTGTAAAAACTAAAGATACTAAGAACATTAACATAAATCATATGATTTGGCTAATGAAATAATCAATCTTACTTCTTCTTTTTTGTGTATACACGAAAAAGTACAAAATATCCAATTACAATGGCATAGATTACACTTGTTATTAAAGCACCTCATACGTACAAAAACCAACAATAAGTTTAGATGACCAACAGGACATGCATAGCAGACAAAAATAAGTTGAAGCAAGACAAAATGGAACGACACTTTTCATAAGAATTCACATAAGCAATAGGTTAAATATCGGAGAAATGGTCCCAGAAGTACCTTGTATGTGTATACTCGTTACAAAGAGTTCATAAGGCGAGATAAAATATCATTGTATTAGTATATCTGAAGTAGAAGCGAGTCTGGGAAAACAGTGACATCTTAGCGTTAACATAGTAATATTCTGAGTACAATTGTAAAATGGCATAGCTAAGAAAAATGAAATAAACCGCCGTTACAAGATTTAGATACAAAAGTTACCCATTTGAGGCCAAATTCTCATCATCCTTCAATATTGATTCCTTAGTGTTCCGACAAAATAAAAGAAACAAAATTTCTCGAATAAATCTGCAACAACAACAGGAGAAAGTTTGTCTACAAAATTTCTCCGATAAGACTATTTTAACAGCCATGAAATAGAAACAATAAATGGTCACAACAAATTGAACACACAAAACTAAAAGGTTCGTATCAGTGTTAACTGCTACTAACAATAACAGAGCAAAAGACTGATACCTAAATGAATACTGAAGAACATATTAAGAATTCATACGGTTAAATAATGTACTCCTAGTATGAATACCACCAGAGATGGTTTATTTTCATAGGAGTACAGAAATACATCAACTATGAAAAAGAGAGTATTGGAAGGAAAAAAGTGCTTAGCCAGTGGAACTTGAAACTATATTAACACAGCAAAAGTAAAAAGGCCTCGCTTTTCTTCGCATGGTGCAGACTACTGTTATAAGATATGAATTTGAAAAAAAATATCCAACCAAAGCATACAATTCAAAAACCAACATGATAGTAATGCAAGACCAAAAGCATACAATTCAAGAACCAACATGATAGTAACGTAAGAAAGTCAGATGGAAAGACCAAACACTTAGTTACCTTATTTCATTTTGAGCTTAAACAGTTACTGTGTGAGACTTTAAATCGAAAAGGATGAAATTGAATGAACCAAAGAATTCAGTGGGCGACAAATTAACAAAAAAAATGCAATTTTGATTCTACAATTAACATAAAATCAAGCAGCAAATCGAGAAATAGAACATTAAGAGAATGTTATCAATCAAACATGAAAGAAAACTAGAGAATCTCAAAAGAGAAAGAGGAAATGTACCTTGGTGGTGAGGAGTATATTGTGGGTGAATCTGTGGAGAAGAAGTATCCTTGTTAAGGAGAGTTTTTCCCTAAAATAAATTCAATGTTACAGCCAAGTTTCTTTCTAGTTACTCTCTACTTCTTTCTACCATACTATATATTCCTCCATTAAAATAAGACGGGTGGCAATAAAATGAATTTCTACCATACAACTCTTTTCGAGATGAGATAGAGTAACAAGATGTAGAGCGGGTGTCCTTGAAACGAAAGAAGAAGAAGGGGAAAAGTGGAGATGTTGGGCATTAATTAGAGGAAGAGGCGTAACCAGAATAGTAGAAAAGTCGAGAGAAAAAGAAACAGAAAATACAGGAAAAAAGATAAATAGGATTTACAGACAATGAGATGTGCCACTCACTGGCTTAATGTCTTCCATTTATATATATGTTTCAAGAAAAAGATAACTTATTTGAGTTAAAATGTACTGCTAAAGAAAATCAATGGAGAGAAAGCCAACTATCTCAAGTCATCAGACATGTTATAAAGGCACAACCTGACGAACATAGTGAATACTAAAACCTAAATCCTCAGAATCTAATACAGGAGATATTATCTCTGTCAAGCTATTGAAGAATTGCTAAACAATGGAAACAAGCAATACAGAAATGCTTCACCATGGTGGATACAAGTGCCTTGAGTATGTAACCCACAAGTTTAATAAATAGGAAATCACAATAACGAAGAACAACAAAAGGAAACTACATTTGAAACATAAGAACAAAAGCCAATTGAGGTGTTCATATTCTCATTCTCTTCTCCACATTACACTAACATTATGCAACTCGCAACGACTTGCACTAATAAATATAAGGAATAAGCTTGTATCTAACTTTACTTGCATACTCCATATATCTCTCACCAAAGTTCTCTACCATCAAACTTTCCTCTAACTTAGCTTTATTCCCATAGTACACTGAGCAAACAACAGCAATGAAGAGAGCACTCAAAGGCGCCCTAAGAGCAATACAATAAGTAACAAACAAGAGCATGGTTGAAGCATAAATAGGATGGCGAATAAACCGGTACGGACCAAACTGTACGACAGCAGTAGGCACAACCACCTTCTCTGAGTACTTGGCTAAATACAATGTGGAATGATATTGCATAAACAATGTCATCACAATCAAACCCCAAATACCCAAATTGCTCCATCCACCAGGGATAAGATGCAACTCTGGGCCTTCAAACGCTGCAAGCCAATGACCAACCATAACTCCAACACAAAACAACAGCTTCTGCCAATCGGGTAGGCTGATATCCCATCTGGGGTCATGCTCTCTTGGATTGTAATCACCATACAAACGTTTTCGAATACTCACATTCAAGAAAAAGAAATAATGGTACACCAAAAAGAACACAACAGGCCAGCCTTCAAGAAAACCATTGAAATGTGCTGGTGGGACAAGTGTAAGCCAAGTGAAAGCTGAAGTAACAACTGCAAATTGCTCAAATACATTTGCATCCCCACGTAAATGCTTGTTTAAGCAATAAAGACTGTAACTTGCAAGACTTATGGCCACCAACCATGGCCAATATAACCATGTCATACTAAAATACATCCAAAAGAATGGATTCACAAGTACATTCATCGTCCATTTGGACGCAGCAATAGCAACAGAAAACAACAAACCCCACTTTAACACTTTAAACGGAGTCAATTGAGAAAAACCCATCTTCACTGACTCCAAAGATAACCCCTTTATGCTTTCAAATACCCTTTTTGGACCATCTGTTTCTGTTGCATTTGAATATGAACCCGAACACTGAACTGGCAGTAACAACGATCGAAACCCACCAATATATGGCCGTACAGGAGAAGAATTGACATCACGGATGGAAATTGATAAGGAACTACGCAAGTGGGATTTGGGTATTCCAAGATTTAACTTGCTCAGCAACTGTTTGTGGAAAGGTCTGTAAGAAAAAGTGTGTTGTTTTGATACATTCCCGCCGAACGAGGAAGGTAGCTTTGAACAGACCAGAATTGGCGATGCTTCCATTGATATTAGTAGCAGAAATTTTCGATTGAAGAAAACTGGATCAGCTCATTAGAGCGTTTAGTAAGCTTCTTCTCCTACCTGAAAATTGGTCAGTTTTATTACCTTCAAGTTCTTTATCGTACCGGATAGTTCACGCTTGGTCTTTTTTTATCATCGGTATTCTTGTAATTTTTTCCCGGCGAAGCGACGGCGCCGGCGTCGAGCAAAATGTAGGTGTTTTTTTTCTGGGCGTGAAGGGATAATAACAGATTTGCCCTCTAATTGGGTTTTCATATAATTGGGCCTGCTCATATTCAAATGATGGCCCAATGTAAAGAACAACTTGCACAAATAGCCGCTTGAACCACCATTGTTTAAATAATAATCAATTTAAAGTATTTAATACTTAGCTGCTTTAGAATCAATTTGAAACTTAAAAGGAACTGAAGTTGAAAATCTCGATTTGAAATTTGAAACTTAAAAGTAGGGGATTGTCAAGCCTAACTTTAGACTCACATGTCTGAAGTCAATAATGTCGCATTGGGAAATTCAAATCGAAAATAAAAAAATAAACGTTTGAGTTAAACTTTACTTCTATTACTTTTTGAAATAGAGTTTATAGTTTGTCCTCTGTTTTTTTCATATTTACCAAACACGTACAAATAACTATGCAATAGAAGTACAAAGCGAGAGTAAAAATAAAACATCAAAAAGTAATAAGGTTGATACATGATAACGAAAGCTAAAGACAATTTAGTCATTGACAAAAAGTTTTGCAAAGCAACTACAGTAACTTTTTAGATCAATCATATTATTCCATTTTAATTAAAATGACCAATTTGCCGTTGAAATCATAAGTAAGCATGTTAATGTGCTACCTACTTTACCAACAAGGATTGTGGTGGAGTGGTAAGTACTTCTTCATCCTTAATCAAGATGTCTCAAGTTCGAGCCCCCTTGAATACGGAGCCACCTTTGTTAGGGAGCGCTTTTTCAAATTTATGGAATAAGTATTAAAATTAATGTAGTGGGTAAAATAGAAAAAAGTTAATTCTCTTTTCTTGATATACTAAAAATGACAAGTAAAAGTGAATCTATTTTGAGATAGTGGACAAATAAAAGTGAACGGAGAAAGTATAATATACTATATAATTTAGGCAAATTCTAATTTTATAGTTTTATTTTAAAAATTCTCGAGACAGGTAATATAACTGTAAAAGAGTCCAAGTCAAACGTGTGCATCATACAACAATTTTTTTTACTTGGACTAATAAAATGGTGTTAGCTACACTTTGGAAAGGTTGAGTGTGTATAAAGTTGGATGACATTTGTTTTCTATACACATTTATTATGTACCCATTTTGCAATCAAAATGTATCAAATCTCCAATTGGTAATTTGGTATGGCACATTATAGTCTCCTTCATACCTAACACACCCCATATGTATTTGTGTAAAAATGCATAATGCAGTCTACATAATATGAAAAGCAACAGTTCTACAATGTTGGATTAAGGATAGTATACAGACGTGAAGCTTGTACCCCCTGACGGAGGATAGGTCGACGAGAAGGACAAGAGGGGCATCTCAGGTGAATCTCACGTCAAAATTGTAGAGAAAAGTGAAGATGACACAAGGTTACATGTACACACATTTTTTTCATCTCGATAATCACATAGTCCGAGGAACAAATATGCAACGTCTGTTGGGCCAAAACGAACAATACATGCAATGGGATTTGGTCGTGACGGAGTTGGCAAAGCCTTAAGAAGAAAAAAAAAACAAAAAAAAACAGTCGTCCTGCCCTTGTTCTAATTGGCACTTTTCTCTATTTTCAACAGATTGTTAAAACCTGTCATCCTGGCAAGTGCAAAGAAAAATTACAGAACATCAAAACTCAAACTGTGAAACTTCATAGCTCCGTTTACGAAGAGATTTATTCACGAGAACGGAACAATTGTAACCGAATTGATTAATCGAGGGGAAAATAATTACAAAATCACCCTTAGGATCTTTGAATTTGACAAGAAATATTAGGGAAGAATGAGCTTTACTACCTAGCATATTGCAGTCATGTTGTACACAGCTCTATTCACATACCTCAGTAGGACTAATTTTAGAACGTCGATGTAGTCTCTAAATGATTTTAACCCCGCGAGGTAATTTCACTCTTAATCTTTTCCACTTGCTCTTAGCCAAGGATGGATGCAAGCTGAGCACATGCTCTGGCATGAAATCATGCCTTGTAATTATCCCCACAACAGGTATCCTCTGCAGACAAGAACCATTTATCAGGAAAACAAATGGAAAACATGTTTGGTTCCAAACAAGCAACGATTATATAATCAACATGGTAGATGAAATAGGGAGAGCAAAAGAAAATTTAACTGTGAGGGAACGGGTCATTACTTAATCACCATCAGTGGATGATGAGAATGTTGATCGGTTGATGCAACCAGGAAGATATTCAAAATGTAAAAATAAACAAGATAACGGGAACTCAAAAATCACAAGGCTGATTCAGAAGAATTTAACTCTTACAGAGAGGTATTGATCATTGAACCTATTCGGTTGTCTATAAAAAATAATAATGGACAATTTATTTCACATCAAATACCTAAAAAGAACGAGATTTTGGTGAAAGATTTCATGAATGAATGAATATTAAAAATTAGCGAGGTCATACACAAATGCACTGAAACATGCATGCAGAAAGCTGGGTAATCTATCCTTCAGGTTATGTTAATGTATCTTTTATCAACTGTTGAATTACTTTTAGGGATAAGATACAGCATCTGAGTATGTCATTGAAAAAGAATTTGAAACAGAAAAGATGAGGAAACAGTTCTTACCCCAGAAACCTTGGGTATTACCAGAAGGTGCCTTAAACCAACTTCTCGGAAGAGCATCAGAGCCTTCGCCAAGGACATAGTCTCTACAACAGTGAAAGGCGAAGTGTTACAAAAAGGATGCAGATCTATAAACATATCCATCTCTTCATCTGCCAGTTGTATATCTTCCACTCTGTCTCCATGGTCTAAACCTTTCTTTGCAAAATCATCAGCTGAAAACTGCGCAAAAGTGTCAACTCCAGCAGGTACAGGATTTTGAAGAAATGCTTTCTTCTTTAGCAATGTAACAAGATGTGCACGGAGTACCAAACCAAATAGAACTGGTGCTACGGAATGCGGGGGTTCATCCACCACTGGAAAGCCATTATGCCCGGTGGTTTTGAGAACATGAACTATGTTACCAACTTTCTCGATGCCATTAAAGAACTGGAGTGGACCTGTGACCACATCACTCACTGATAGTTGTCTTAAGTAAGGTTCAGCATGACGTTCCAAGTAAGGGAAACCCTTCGCCCTCATTATGAGGTCATATATATTCCCATTAAATGCATCAGCTACAGTTTTGGAGATAAGAAGAACTAGCATCATTAGAGGTAGCAAGAGGAGGTTATTAGTCAATTCTAGGATAATGACGCATAAGGAAACTGTCATTCTCATAGAACCCCCAAGAAAGGAAGCTGAACCTAAAACAGCAAATAGGCCATGGTTAAGAGTTGAGTGCGAACCAAACATCATCCCAATAAAACGACCATAAGCTGCACCTGTCACAATGACAGGCACAAAGAGACCTGCAGGTGCGACTATCCCATAACTAAAGATGCTCAGGAAAAAACAGGTGATAAAGAAAATCAGCATTGAGAAAGGGTGAAACTCGGCATCAGTGTTCTTGCTGAAAAGGTTCTTGATTGCATCATCATTCGTGTTAAAAAATAAACTGGCAAGATCATTGTAGTGACCTGGAGGACACTGAAACTTCTTATAGTTACCATTCCGTCCAATTGTGGGGCAAGGTTCTGATGTATCTGAAGGGCAAGGGCGGCAAGGTGCCAACCATGGTAATCCAAAAAGAAGACAAGATGTAAAAATGGAGACTGTAAGAGCCAGAACTATTTTGTAAGCAGCTCTTCTCCTAAAAAGAAAATGAAAAAGAAGCCACATAAAAACATTAACTTTATCATGCCTTGAAAAGGAAAGGAATATATGAAAATCTAAAAGCCAAAGTGAGATCATACTCGTTAATTCTGTTATAAATCCGCAGAACCCTATCCTGTAAAAAGTTGTACAAACTTGCCCATATGCCTCCAATAACTGCTAGCAAAAGAACAGGAGGCACATCCCAGATCTGATATGCGACGTTAGCTGACGTGACATCGAACATTATGAGACCTCCTTTACCAAAGAGTCCACATTTCCCACTCAAGCAAACATCAATCAAAGCACGAAGGACAATTGCAACCACAGCCGTAGTAAAAAAGGCTCTCCATAATAGAGCACTTCTCCACCTGCAACACAAAGGAAGTGCATACAATGTCAAAAAACAAAAAGGAAAACTACAGCATCCTTTTTAATCACACCAAACATCAAAATCCATATTTCAGTATACATCACATCAATCTACTACCGTATGTGCGATATATAAGAGATGAGAGACCTGATAAAGGGAACTTTCAAATTATTTAATCTCCAAAAGCTGACTTGGTATAGCCATCTATCCCATGGGAAGAAAACCTTACTCACTTAAGTCCACACATAACTACTTTTTTTATAACAGTTCCCTTGATAGACCATTCCTTTACCATTTAGACACCCATTAAGACTCAACTTTACAGGAAGTTCACGTCCAGCAAAATCAGCTCAGGTAAAACTATCTCCTCTTAAGTATGTTGAACAAAATACGATTCAAGAAAATCAAAAGCGAGTTTGGACCATCCCCATTGCCTAATAGTCTTTCAGAGATCATTGATAGTGTCTCCACTTGGGAGCTGAATATAAAAATATCACAACTTATGGTCAAAATACATTAATGATTAAGCGACAGCATCAATCACTTCAACAATATGCTTTTGGCCTTGGATTTAAGGCAACACTTGCTAACAAATATCTAAAGCCACAGAAGATGTTAAAAAAAAACTTGAAACTAAATATCAAAAAAAATTGAGAATGATAAAATTAAATATAAATAAAAGGAGCATATTTCAAGTACCGGAAGAAACTTACAATTATTTTGAACAATGAAAAAAGCCTCAAAAATTCAATTAATATGGAAAAGAGGGAGTAATAATTAAAGCTTCTCTCTCTCTCATAATCTTCAATCATCAACAGTCAACATACAGGCTATTTTGCAAGACCAGATCCTCTCCCAAGAGCCAACCTGACAATTCAGTAGTCCATGCACCACATTTTTTGTTGGACTACA